AAACATTCAAATCTTTTTCAATTGTCAACATTACTATAATTTTATCTGTATTTTCAAATTCCCATTAGAAAATCATAGACCCCGTTTTACCCCAACATATGTAGGAAAAGGTCATTGGCTTTCAAATTTGAGAAAAACACACACTCCCTCAAGAGAAGCACCATCTACTAGGGAATAGCTAAAGAAATTATGATATATGAATATGTTGAATATTTTATTTGGTAAGAAAAAGTAAATGTAAAGAACTTAAAGAAATATGAAGGTATATAAAATAATGGAGAATGAAGGAAGCAGATCCCCCAAATCAACCATCTTAATACTGAGGACACCATAGTTAAGGATAAAAATAACAACAAATTCATGATATATACACATTAAAGAGGGCCCCTCCCCAAAAAGGAATCAAGAAGTCCAACCACTTTCTGGTGCTGCTAGTCATTAATTTAAACTTATTCAGCAAGAAATTTCAGTAACTGAAAAGCCCCACATTTATGCTATTCACTCCATTGATAGGAAGTATATAGAGTAGAAGTGCCTCAGTCATGTGACCTTGGCACAGTAGAATTGGTCCCCAGAAGAATATGCACAATGGTAATAGAATGTTTTATTTTTGACATAGAAACAACAGCAACAATAAATAATATATGATAATATATGTATTATTCATCCCTACTGAGACTCATCAAATTGCCTACTGAAGCAAATAGCACTTGTAACATGCAGTGGTAGAGAGATCATCCAAGCTAATGAAATCATCATTATCGTTTATATAGCATCTATGTAACACCTACTATGTGTCAGACACTGTGCTGAGTGCTTTACAGATTTTAGATCATCTCATTCTCACGCACAAAAAATATTGGGAGGTAGGTGCTGTTATTCTAATTTTACAGGTAGGGAAGCTAGGACAAACTGAGGTTAGTTGATGTGTCCAAGTTTTATAAAAGGGTTAATTCACCCCAGCAAATATTTATCAAGTGCTTACTCTGTGTAGGCTCTGAGGACAATACAAGGGCTTTATAGCCTATCCGTGCGATGACATATGTGTAGAAGACTACAATACACTATAAGACTCATGTCTTGGAAACATTTTTGTGAGGTACAAAACCCAGGGTGATCTTTTGGAAGATTAAATAATTGTCCTGATGATGTATTTTTCTCACGAACAAACAGTGAAACAAATTAAACCAAACCAGCTCAGAAGACAGTCAAAGTCTCTTCAGGGAAAAAAAAAACCCTCAAGAACAATAATTGCTGGTCCAACCATTCTGGAGAGCACTTTGGCACTATGCCCAAAGGGCTATAAAACTGCATACCCTTTGACAACAGGAATATCGCTGCTAGGTCTCAAAGAAAAAGGAAAGGGACTTATTTGTACAGACATATTTATAGCAGCTCTTTTTATAGTGGCAAAGAATTGGACATTGAGGGGATGGCCAACAGTTGGGGAATGGCTGAACAAGCTGTGGTATATGATTGTGATGGAATACTATTGTACTATAAGAAATAATAAGCAGGATGGTGTGAGAAAAACCTAAGAAGTCTTATAGGAACTAATGCAGAATGAAGTGAGCAGAACCAGGAGATCATTGTACACAGTAAAGCAATATTGTAATGATAATGAACTGTGAAAAACTTAGCTACTCTGATCAAGACAAAAATCTGAGACAATTCCGAAGCACCCATGATGAAAAATTCTGTCCACTTCCACAGAGAAAACCAATAAGCTCTGAGAGTGAATTGAAGCATACTTTTTCACTTTCTTTATGTATTTTCTTTTACTACATGGCTAATATGGAAATATGTTTTGCATTGCTTCACATGTATAATCAATATCATATTGCTTGCCTTCTCAAGGAATGGAAGAGGAGAAAGAAGGAGGAAGAGAATTTGGAAGTCAAAATTTTAAAAAATGATGTCACAATCTTTTAAAAATGTAATTAGGAAATATTTAAGAAAAATAAAAAATATATATAACCACATTAGTTGCCATTTATATAACACTATGTTTTACAAAGCACTTTGCATCTAGGATCTCAGAATCACAACCCCTCTGTAAAGCAGGTAATGTAAGTACTATTGCTCCAGTTATGCAGATAAGGAAATTAAAATTCAAAGAAGCAAAATGAATTGCCCATGTTCACATACCTCAAATGTGTCAAGGGTGAAATTTTTAACTCAGGTCCCTCCTGATTCACAAACCAACACTCATTGAATCACAGATTTAAATTGGAAGGGACCACAGAGAATATGTGGTCCGGTCCTCTGTCATGTATGTGAACTATGTACCCTTTAACAAAAAATCAGAAGGCAAATAATGCTCACAGAAAACTTACTTTTATGTAATTATCTTCTTTAGTTATCTAGTATTGAATAGAAGAACATAGGCAGAATGACACAGAGGGGAAAAAAAAATGGAAGTTAAACTCAATACACCTGGTTTTATTTCCATCTCTACCGCTTACAAGAAGTAAGACTTTAGGCAAGGCCCTTACCTTTTCTGGGTCTCAGGCTTTTCACATGAGAAGTGGGGTTATAGTTTCATTTATCTGCTTCTTAGGGTTGTTGTGGGAAAATCCTTCATGGATTGTCAAATACTGTACAAAGATAAGCTATTTTTTTCCATTTCTGTATATTACTATGTTAATAAACTTGCAAATTAATAGGAAGTATTATGGCATTGTGGATAGAATCCTGGTATCGGAAGCAGGCAAATGTGAGTACAAATCTACTTCGGTGACCTGAAACAAGGTAGTATATACCTGTTCCTCAAGCAGCTTTTTCAGACTGATGTAGATAGCTTGAGATTGCATTTGGTAGAGACTATTCTCACACCAGGTAATTCCTCATACTGATGGCATTACAAAGCCTACGTGGATTTGTGATGGCAGTAACTGGCCTTTGTCAGAATGTAGCTAGCACATAGTAGGCACCTCAGTAATCTGCCTTGTGTGTAATAGTGGCTAAATGGGTATTTATAAATTGTATTAGCTGTTTTAAAAATCATTCTTTCAATTGTTCTCTGGGCTCAAAGCTACAAACCTCAAAGGCACGTGACTGAATCTTTGATCTTAAGATGGTTGTAAAAAGATGGTCTTTCTCGTGTTTTTCCCTGTGTTTGCAAGCAAATGTTGCTAGTTCAAACCAAGTCTCAATACTGCAGGATTTTGCATAAGTAATTTGCATTTCAAGAGTGTCAAAATCAGTAACAGTTCAGACATTTCACATGCTAGGAATATTGGCAGAAACAGTTTGGAGGCAGAAAAAAAAAATACACAATTTAGCAGTAATCCAGTAGTCTAACTCTTGGGGAAGAATTATTTTAGAAATAAGATCATAGAATCACATGGCTGAAAGGTTTTTTTTGCAAGGTTACCTGAATTATTCCTCTCCAACCTCACGGAGGTCATAATCATACCATAATAGATGTTTTAAAACCTTACACTTTGAAAGCTGATCAGATAAACCAATTAATTTTTAAGAATTTATTAAGTGCCTCTTATCATTATACCGATATGCTAGGTGATGGGAATAGAAAGACAAAAAGCAAACTGTCTGTTTTCAAGGAATTTATGTTCCACTGAATGAGATAAAATGATGCTGTGATCCCACATACTTGAGTATAAATAGAATAAATGCAAAATAAATACAAGCAGTTGTGGGGTGCAGGGTAGGTCAAGGCAGGCTTTATATGAAAAGTGTTTCCTGAAGTAAAGGATTCTACAAAGTATAGATGAAGAAGGAGGGGTGCATTCCAGGCATGAAGGATACCTGGTGCAAAGGAATGGAGATGGAAGACAGAATACCCTCTGTGAGGAACAGAGGAAAGAGGGAAGGAAGAGAAAGAATGTATACTGAGGCTGAAAATGTAAGCTGGGGCCAGATTGCGAAGAAGTTTATATCAACTAATCAGTCAATAAACATTTATTAAGCACTTACTATGTGTTAGGCACTGTGCTAAGTGCTGGGGATACAAAAAGAGGCAAAAAACAGCCTCTTGCTCCCAAGAAATTTACAAATATAGGAAACAACATGCAAACTAATATATAAAAAAATTAAACTAATATATATTATTAAGCATATATATGTACATATGTATGTATATATATATATATGTACATATATACATACAGTTATCTACAAGATAAATAAGAAATAAGTAACATAAGGAAGGCACTGGAATTAGGGGAAGCTGGAGTTAGGGAAAGCTTCTTGTAGGGGGAGGAATTTGAATCGGGACTTAAAGGAAGCTGGAGAGGTCAATATTCAGAGCAGAGGAGAGATAATGTTTCAGGAACGAGGAAGATAGAGAAAATGCCTGGAGCTGAGAGATGGAGTATCTTGTTCATGGAACAGCCAGGAGGTCAGAGTCGCTGGATCTAAGAGTATGAATATGCATAAAGGTAGGAGAGAGCTCGTTTATGAAAAGGTTTGAATGTCAAACCAAGCATTTTGTATTTGCTCTTTTATATTTTATCCTAGAGGCAATAAGGGTCACTGTAATTGATATTAAAGGCATTAAAGGACTAACAGACTGTTGGGTTAAAAAGAGCAAAGAACAGCAAGTTAGTAGAAATTGACAGGCTGGGAGTACTTAGGGAAAGAAACCTGTTAAACTCACTGGTCCTTGGCCTCCCCAACAGCCAAATAGATTTGTTAAGCATTTTTTTTCCCCTTTTTACCATTATGACTTCTCCTGGGTCACAGTGTCTGTCCTTCAATCATCTCCATCTCCATATACATTTCTCCCTATCATTCTACTCCTGGTTAGTCAACAATTGAATTCATTACGCATGAATATCATAAGTATCTTCACAATGACATCAAACTTACTGTACTAGAGTGTTATCAAAATACTTCACTGTGAGGTGAAGGTGACCCTGGGTCCTTGAAGACATCAGCATCTCTGGCAGGTTTTGCCAAGCTGGAACAGTTTTGAAAATGGGCCTAGTGACAGATTGTCATCTCAAGATCAGGCTAAATTTGGAGAGTTCACTCACCAGAAGGTCGGCCACCAGGTGATGAATCATCTTGGCTACAGCCGTTCATGGTCTTGGCTCCTAAGTCATGAGGTAGTTACAACTGGCATAGCTGGAGGAAGAACGCACACTGAAAAATTCACAAATCATCTACAATTTCTGGGGATAAATAAAATTTAGTTGTGTTAAGGGAACTGATTAGTAATCAGGTGCCTAAAGATATATTTTATATACATATACAAGGACAGCTTTTTCTTCAGATATTCATTTATTCAGTGCTTACTGTGTATGTCACTGACCAAGGCTTTATTTATGGAAGAGGAAAGAAAACGATAATAGAAATTGACATTTATGTAGTAGTTCAAGATTTACAAAACACTTTATATAATCTAGTTCAATTCAAAGAAAGACTATAGAGAACAAAAAAATGAATGAGAAATGCAAAAAATGAAAAAGAAACATCCTTTGAACTTAGAAGTTGATATGTTGCAATAGGAAGAATGTTAGATTTGGAATAAGTGGGATCAGAGGACCTGGATTAATTCCAGGAATCAGAGGACCTGGTCATTTACTGCCTGTATGACCTTAAGCAAATCATTTAACTTCTTTGGGACTCAGTTTCCAAGTATATACAATGAGAGGGCTGGGCTAGATGATATCTAATGTACTTTCCAGGTAGGTGGCATAGTGGATAAAGTGCTGGACATGGAGGAAGGAAGAAATGAGTTCAAATCTAGCCTCATACTTACTAGTTGTGTGACACTGGGTAAGTCACTTAACCTCTGTCTGCCTCAGTTTTCTAATCTATAAAATGGGGATAACAACAACACCTACTTCCTAGGCTGTTTAAGGATAAAATGAAACAAAATCTAAAGCAATTTCCAAACATTAAAGGACTATACAAATGTTATATCTCTTGATAGAACATAAGCTCCTTTGAGAGCATGGGCAATTTCAATATTTTCTTTGTGTTCTCAGTACCCAGCACAAAACCTCACACAAGCATTAATAAACGTTTGTTGATTGGTAGGTGAGAAACAGCTGTATAGGTAAGTAGTAAGATTTGAAGTCTAAGGAGTGTGTGTGTGTATGTGTGTATGTGTGTGTGTGTGTGTGTGTGTTCAGTAGGTAATTGAGAGCCATCATACCTTTTATTTTGGGGGGTATGGGGGATGGTGACAGAGAATCAGGGGAATCATAACAGTGTATTTGAAAGCTTATATATGTGTGTGTTTGTATGTATATGTGTATATGTATATATATGTATTTATGTGTATATGCACATATACATACATGCATGCATACATACACACACGTGTGTGTGTGTGTGTGCGTGCGTGCGCGCACGCAGGATGGACTAGATAGAGGAGAGAATGATGGAGGGAAAAATGCTAATTGAGGTTTCTCTCCCTGATCCTTTCTCTCTCTGTCTCTCTCTCTCTCTCTCTCTCTCTCTCTCTCTCTCTCTCTCTCCCTCTCTCTCTCTCTCTCCATACACATAAATATCATAAATGTCATAGAGATACAGGCATAGAGAAATAGACATAACCATAGATAAATAGTTGTATCCATATACATCTGTATATGTATATGCATGTGTGTATATAACACACAGAGACATATAATAGCTAACATTTCTCTAGTGTTGTAAAGAATGCAAAAGACTTTACATATGTATTTGGACTAAGCTATTGCAATAGTCTAAATGATAAAAGATGGCAGAAAGTTTGAACTAGGGCAGATGCAGTTTGAATGGAGAGGAGTGGCCAAGCAATAAGAGATATTAAGAAGACAGAAACAATAGAACACGGCATGCAGGGTGAGAGAAAATGAAAGACCAAAGATTCCTCTGAACTTCTGAGACTGAGTTCCTGGGAAAATGTTGGAACCAATTACAGAAAGAAAGAAGCTAAGGCAAAGAAGCTTTATGGAATAAGATACTGAGCTCAGTTTTACAATGCTGAGTATGAGGTGCTATTGGGACGTGCAAGGAGGCAGATGTAAATACCACTCTGGAGTTCTGGATAAAGATTGCAGGTGGGGATATTGATTTGGGAAACATCTGCATAAAGGTGATTAATTAAAACCACAGGAAGAGATGAAATCCATAAGTTGTTTTCCTCCCATTTTTCCAATCTATCCAGAATTATGTAGTGAATAGCAAAATCTCCTCAGAACCAGGAGAACTTGTCTGTGTAATCCTTGACAAGGCACTTACTGTTTAAGAGCTCTAGGTAGCTTTTTATGACTATATTGCAGACAAGGTGCTGACCAATATCAGGAGAGGAAATTTCTTCTCAAGGAGCTCCCTAAACCAATAAAATTATAAATCTCGTCTTCATTCACCCCTCCACAAGATGTCAAATTGATATTTCTAAAGTATAGTTCTGACCATGTTATTTCTCTGCTCAAGAAGCTTCAGGGACTTCCTATTGCATCTAGGATAAAATATGGACTTTTTTTTGGTATTTTAAACCTTTAACAATCTGGGTCTGGCCTTTTTTCTAGCTTTATTACACATTATCCTCCTAACACATTCTACACTCAAATCATACTAATTTACTTTTTCCTCAAACATAGCATTGTTCCCTCATTTCTAGACTGTGCAAAACTATTTTTCATGTCTCCCTCCTCATCTCCATCTCTTAGAATTCCTAGCCCCCTTCAAGCCTCAGCTTAAATATCTCTTCCTAAAGGAAGCCTTTCTTGATTCCATTCATTAATGTTTCCCTCTGAAATGAATTAGTATTTATTTTGTATTTACTTATTCATATTGTTTTTTCCTAGAATGTAGGGAGCTGCTTTTCTTTTCTCTCCATGTTTCTGCAGTACAGCAAAATGCCTGAGTAGTCACTTAAATATTTGTTCAATTGATTTGAAAGCAGAGCTGTATATAGAGAGACGATAATGGGACAAAGATAGAACTTCAGGAAAGGCCAACTTTTTAAGAGCAAGAACAGGATGAGGAGACAGGAAAGAGGCACAAAAATAGTGAGGTAAGAATTATGAGAATACAATGTCACAGAAGGCAAGGGAGCACACAGCATCAATAAGGGAGAGTGCTTCAGAGTGCCAAAAGCTGTAGAAAGGTGAATGAATATGAGGTCAAAAAAAAAGACTATTGGATGAAATGGTAAGTAATTTTTTTTTGATGAGGCAATTGGGGTTACACGACTTGCCTAGGGTCACATGGCTAGTAAGTGTCAAGTGTCTGAGGCTGGCTTTGAACTCAGGTCTTCCTGACTCCAGGGCCAGTGCTCTTATCCACTTCACCACCTAGCTACCCCTAAGTAATTTCTTAGTGATCTTGGGTAAAGCTATTTTTGCAGTGATGCTGATGAAAATCAGGCTTTAAAGAATAGATCTTTGGAAGTGGAAACAGTGAATGGAAGCTACATTTGAATGAATGAATGTTATTATGCATCAACAGATGCATAATTTTTCATGTGCCAAAAATTGCATAAGTAAGGTGCTGGAAACATAAAAAAAAGTGAGACTATTTTGCCTTCAAGGAGTTTAGGAAAAGACCAAATATATAGGACAATGATGGTCCAGAAAAGGAATTATCTTCTAGATTGTCAAAGGGGTGGTGAATGGAGTCATCGGTAGACATTTGCCATGCCTTTCCAGAAGCAATCAATTTGAATGCTGTTTCCAGAACAAGGGAGATATCAGGGAAGCATAACATGACACATGTTGATCAGAATGGAAGTGAAAAATGGTCTGAGGCTAACTAGATAGAGTGAATTTGGGGAGTTTGCAGTTACTCAACAATAAGGAATGCTCCTCATTAGGGCAGAGTTCTAAAATGAAATAGGTTAAATTTCCCAGGTCTCTGGAAGGTCAATAAAAGAGTTTTCTTTTTTTAGGGTAAGGTAGATCTGAACAAGTTTGTAATGTGAGATTTCAATAGACTCCTAATGACTGAAGCTGTATAAGAAAGAAAGGCTAAAACAAGTTTCTAGGGAAAGATTAGAGGTGACAATTAGGATTGCTTCACTTTCAAGAGGAGTATATCTCTTCATCTGAGACCTGAGGAAATGATCAGAGAAAGGGTAATTACATGAACGTCATGGGAGCAGAGGAAAGGAGCTTGAGGGAGATGGAATAGAAGATCTTAATGTTCTCAATAGAGAACATTGGGATCATCATTGCCCTGCTCTTTGAGATTTTTATTACCTCTGGTTCACAGATAAGGAAATTAAGGCTCATAGAAGCAAAGAATGAGACCTACCCCCCAATACTGATTTGAGGATAAAGTGAGATGATATTTATAAAGAGCTTTACAAACATTAAAGCACTTCCTAAACACTAATTATAATTAAAGGACTTGCCTAGAGTTTCACTACCATTAGTGGCATAGCTGGGGTTGAAACCTAAGTCTCCTGATTGCTACTTCACTGTTCTTCTCAATATATCACACCACTGCTTAGTACAACATTAATATAATCAGCCGATCAAATTGGCTCCAGTACATAATTGATCTCAATATTTACCTATAGCTGAATTTTTTTCCTGGACCTATGATTTTTTTGGGTGTAGTTTAGTTTTGATTAGGAAACTTACTTTCTCAATGCAGTCAGCACCTGTTTTGCAAACTATTATTTTATATAATTGCCTGGGGCATTGTTAGTTTAAGTGACTTGGCCTGGGTCACCTAGAAAGCATGAGTCAGAAAGTGTATTTGAGCCCAGGTCCGAGACCAGGTCTCTATAAACTATACCATACTGGCTTTGATTTGAGATACATACATACATACATACATACATACATACATACATACATAACGATAGATGACATATAGAGACATAGGTACAGATAATATGGAGCTAGCTATATAGAGATGATACAGATAGATTTATCTACATAAATATAGATATTGATAAGTATAGATGATATGAATATAGAAAATATAGATATATAGATTTATTTATATAGATATATCTATAGATAGATGTAGATACAGAGATAGATGGTATGTAGCTATAGAGATATATGATGGCATATCTATGTTATTTGTATGTAGGTATAGATAATATAGATATAGATGATATATAGACATAGATATATGAGTATAGAGAGGTACGTACAGCTACACAAAGATAGGTAGAGAGATGTTCGTGTTCAGTCAGTTCTGTCATGTCCAACTCTTGGTGACC